TGTTTATATGACAGGAAAACAATTTTAAACATTAGAAAGGGCCCTTCTTCATATATGATGAAAGTTAGATTTGCCAGTCGTGTTTTTTAAACCTCCACTCATATATTAACATGCCAGTTAAATAGGTTTTCTTTCATTAATGTGCAAATTGACAAAATCTGATAAGGATAAGTCAATGCTAGTGTGGGAAAATCAATGAAAATCCATTATCATTATGAGAAAAAGAACTAAAATCTAAGCTCAAATTAGTGGCAACTTAGCAGGGTCATTTTAGTGAAAATATAAGATAACGCTGTTTAAATTGTGTGTGAGTTTTAATACACCAAGTAAAGTCTAGATGGTATTAGGCCCAGGAGAGTGGACCATGAAGGATGGGCTCTAGAGAAAGGAAACAGGCAGAGCCAAGTAGTGTCTGCTTATAGACTGCATGTACAAAGAGCAGCAGTTCATGGTGACTGAGTCAGGTTCATTCATCCAATTAATAGTATGTAGATTTCCACTAAGTACTAGGCATACAAATATACAGATTATACATCTCATTCCTGATGGAGCTTACCCACTAGCAGGGTTTGTGTAAATAGCAAAAGTATAAAAAGGCTGGAAAGGGCATCAGAGTGCCAGATCACTGTAGAGCCTTGAATACTAAATTTGCAAAGTACAGCCATTGAGGTTTTTTGCAGGTGAAACGTCAGTAATCACAATACTATAAAAGTCCATTACTAGACAAGCCTGTACCGATCCTTAGCACTTTAACAGCTAACCTATCAATAACTATTTAGTGAATACCTAATACACGTGTACCTAGGTGCTGGCTGTCATGGCATACCTATTTCAGATTAGAAATTGTAAGAGAAAGCCAGGAAGAACCACAAACGCTTTCAACTTTATTTACCACAGGCACACTACAAAAAGGCAAGGGGTATAGTGTTTAGAGTACAGGCCTGGGGACAAACTCTTATCTTAGTTCCCCTACTTCCTGGTTGCATGACCTCAGGAAAGTTACTTTAACCACTTCATGCCTCAGTTTCCTCATCTGTAAAAGAGAGAATTAAAAATTTACCTCACAATTGTTTGTAAGTTAATATATATTAATACTTGAAACACGAAATACTTAGAACAGTGAAAGGCATACAGTACACATTCAATAAATGTTATCTATCTATTCTCCTCATACAAGTTAACCATCAGAAGAACACAATGTGTGTGTGTTTTCCATTCCTTCATTTTGCAGGTGAGGATACTGAGCTTCAGAAAGGGAAAGTGATTGGCCCCAAGTCACACACTAGTAATTGGGATGGCCAGCTGTGAGCTCAGGGAGAAGAATAAATACTAATATTTACCACATGTTTACTACAAAAGGCAAGATGTATACTGTTTAAAGCACTAGCTTGAAGCCAAATCCTTATCTCAGCTCCCCCCAAATATTTCCCAAAATAAATAAAGGAATAGAATGGGCAGAGCACCTGGTTCTGGCATGCAAGGTAGGAGCATGCAACCAGGAATCAGGCAAGATTGATTTGTATTACTGGCACACTTCGAACCATTTCTGGTCTTTCTGACTTTCTATATGCCAATGAGGTCACAGCCAAAGGGCCTAGGCTAGGAGAAGAAATAACAATATAGAACAAACCTCCCTCTCCCCTTTAACCCAAGGTCAGCATGGATAATCAGGCCCTGCCTGATAGAATTGCAAGTTCAGACCCTTTGGGCAATTAGATTGCAATATAATTGATCGAGCTACTTGGCATCCAAATAGACAGAGTCAAGTCCACATTTTCTGGGTAATTGTATGGAAACAGAGTTGCCGGCATTAGTGAAAAACACTAGATAGAATTTTTTATTTGCATTTATTATCGGGAGTAGTCACAACATTTCTAGGGGCATCTTTTGCTAGAAAGGAAATGTATATACTCTGACTTCCAGGACATGTAAAATTGGAATGGATCTCACTGTGATTTATTTCTATATCTGCAGGATGACAAGATGGTCTACTGTGCTGTTTTAAGGTAATGCGTGTTCTTCTTTGTGCCACTGCTCAGAACCTTTCATTTATACTGATAAGCAAGTCTCAGAAACAGGCTAAAATTCCTAACAAAGAATTTTACTAAAAACAAACGGAGTTAATTAAGCAGGTGCTTTGTTTATTAAATAATGCTCACATCCAATATTCACAAACATCTGTTGGAAAGTTAATGGTCATATTTTAAAGGTAAGGGAGCTAGAAAAAAGCTTAAGTAACTTATCCAGAGCAGAACATTATCTTAGCCAATCTGTCATTTCAATCAAGACTATCCCAATTCCAATTCCCATCCTACTCTCCATACATACATTACAGTGTAGCCTAGGAATAAAATAGATCCTAGAATATTATGTATAAATTATAACTTCTCAATCTTGGCTGTATATTCATATCCCTTGTAGAGTTAAAACAAATATGTTACCAGGGCCCTCGTTCCAGACATTGATCTAATTGGTCTGACATGGAGCCCCAGCATGAGCATTAAAAAAAAAAAATTTCCCAGTTAGGCACTGTGATGGGATCCATACTCCTAACCTCTGCCTCACACAATATTCCCATATAACAAATCTGCACATGTACCCTTGTATCTAAAAGTTGAAATTTAAACACATTTAATTTAAAAAATACAATTGTTCATAATTTTTAAAAAAGATTCTCCACTTAAAAATGTGCAGCCAATTTTGAGACACACTCATATAATTAAGAATGTCTTTAAAGACACTGTCCTTTTTATTCCAATTGTAAACTTTCTGGAAATATGATTTAATATAATCACTCTAAGCCACAGTGATTTTGATCTTTCAGTGGAGGAAGGCACATAAACTAACCATCAGAGGTCCTGGGTACTTGTCAGTTTTTTAATTAGCTCTTCAGAACATCTGTCTTGTGGCAAAGTATTTAATATTTGGCCCCCAGCACCAGAGAGCCAAAAACAAAAAGAAAACTCTAGCAGAAAATTTTCACATCTGCCTAGTTAGAAGCTGGCAAAGAATTCATCCTCCCATAATCTTTCCAAATACATCAACCTCAAACAAAACACCAACTGTACCTGAGACTCCAAGGTTAGGGCATTAAATTCCTCAGCCCTGTGAAATTTTAATTAGAGCAGATGGCCTGCTGGATAATAACACCACTGTAAAAAGTATTACACAAAACAGGGGTTTAAAAATCCTTTCTCTGAGAAGATATAGCACTTGTTTATTGAGCACATAAGTGGCAAAGATTTTGCTAGCTTTCTGTTAATCGTCATTAATACCTAACATGGGTGCTAGTGTAGTGGACACCTGTATTTTTGTCTGTTAAGCACTTCTGTCCTCCCTCGTCCCTCATATCAACCTCCCATTTCCTTTGGGTACCTGCTTTCCCCCACTGCAATCATGAGCTTCTACTGGGGCTCCCCTAAACTGACCTTATGTTTCAGACACTATTTTCAGAATATGGCATTTCACATAATCACCACAATAACTCCGAGGTGGGAGCTCCGCTCTCCTTTAACAGATGACAAAAGTGAAGTCCAGAGAAGCTAAATGATGTGTGCAAGGTCTCAGGGATAGGAAAGGTCAGAACCTGGCTTCTGCCTGTATTTTCTCTTTATCTTCTCCTTGCTATCTTCTTAGAGTCTATGGCCTACATTTTCTTAGTGCCCAAGCCAATGTTTATTTGAATCCAAAACCCACAGTTTTGCACTTTGCCATGGTATCTCCATGAAGAGAAGGCATACACGGTCAGTGTGACACAGAGAAGCCAGGTCTCAATGATGCCCTGTTGTATGAAAGTTACCAGAGTTTGGTCTAACAGGCATCGGGAAGGACAGACTGAGCCATATTATCACTTATTTTAACACAGGACAGAGTCACATTGTCAGCATGGAGAAATGGGGTATAGAGAAAAGTTTACAAAGGCAGCTCCAAAGATTGTGTCCCTCTGACAATGCGTCCCTCATCCCCACCATGGCCTTACTTCAGCCTCTGTCCTTTATTCTTTAGGTACCAAAGTGTATTTCAAATTTTTCGTGCCTTCTTTCTGTAGCTCTAGGGCCTTATACCTTCTAGGTCTCCCCGCTTACATACCAAGAGATCTCCCTCCCATCATCCTAGCTACTTCTGTTGCTCTGTTTCAGCCGTGAAACATCCCCAAGCTCACAGAGAATCACCAAATGTTAAAGTGGAGGGGAACTTAGGTATCACTAATTCGTTCTGCTTTCTCCAACACATCAGTAAATTAAGGCAAAGAGAGGGAAAGTGACCTGCCTAGCATCACACAGGCTGCTGAACCTCACAGGGAACATGCTATTATAGAATGCACCTCACCTCTTAGCTCTGGCTGCCTGCATACCTCCTTGTTTCTGGAAATATCTCTACTGAATAGCCTTTTCTTAGCACTGCGAAACGTTATCTTTAACGTACTTGGTACCCACCTCCATTGACACCACTATATCCTAACTGCCTCTTGCCTGTGTCCTTGAAAACAAGGATTATATTTTATTATATTTGTATTCCTAGATCCAAGCACAGTGCCTAATGCATGTGAGGTATCTAAACAATAATATTACCAAAAATAACTGATGCCTATGGATAACTTATTACTAAGTTTTGTACCACAAAACCAGGTGAGGAAACAGAGGTATGGAGAAATTAAATAACTTTCCCAGGGTCACACAGCCAGCAAGTCAAACTTTTGGCACCGGGTTTTGCAGCCCATGTTCAGACACTCATAATTCAATCCCTGAAAGTTCCACAACTGTCAAATAGCAAAGCCAGACTCAAGAACAGAGCCCCTGCTCTTAACCCACTACTCCCTACAAATGTTTGTTGAAGGAATGAGGACCCAAGTTTTCTGTTTTTGACTACTGCTTCTTTCTAAATCGCAAAAGTTATGAACAAACCATCCACAATGCGTTACATGTGGCCCACAGTTATTAATTGATCCATTTATTTATTTATTTTTATGCGTAAATGTCTGTAAATGTGCATTTCTCTTAAGTTCCTGGCCCCTAAAAATAATCTGAGTTCAACATCCTTGCCTTTTCTGCACTAGACCCCAAAACCTTAATACTAGGCAGATACAGTTCTTGAGTCTTTTTGACAGTTTATTATTCCTGAGATACATTTTCCAAATCCAATATATAATGTATGACTTACCACTAATTGCCATTAAGAACCAGGATATTCATAGATATTGCCTCTATTAACATTTTGTTTTTAATTCAGTGAGTTTTTAATTGTTCTCACTGTGAGTCTTTTACTGAAACAGTGCTGGGGTACCCAATAATCAGTCTTGAAAAGAAAGAATAAAGATAAGCATGAAGACTATTGTTTAGCCAGACTTAACAAATCCTATTCATGAAATACAGCAGCCTTTAGTTAAAATACTTTCTCATTAATCAGCTTGAAACGATAAATGGTCAACCAGATACAAAATATTAATTGTAATAATTGCTAACAATTATCAAACACTTTATTATTGAACACTTAGGCACCATGCCATGTATGTTACATACATGATCTCATTTAACCCTTACTACACCCTGAGAGGTGGATAAACTATTAACTCTGTTTTACAGATGAGGAGACTGAGACACATATAGGATAAACTACTTAGCCACGGTATTTCCTAGACTTATTCAATTCAAAGTGTTATTTATTGAGGGCTATCTATGGTAGAAATGACAGAAATTGTGTTTCACAATTTACTTTTATGATAATTAAATGCTTTTATTCTGGTACCTCTGTGTGCCAAGACTGAGGAATGAGACTGAAACATCGTTGTCCTAAGAAACAGTAGAATAAAATGGAAAGAGAAAGCATGTTGGAGTCAAGCTTTAAAACGTGGTGTTACCACTTACTGTTAAATAAAGGACAAGTGAAAAGCTTGAGCCTTTACTCCGTAATTTGAAAATGAGGCCAATCATCACTATATTTCATGAGATTCTTGTTAGAGTTAAATGATATACACAGATGAAATACCTAAACATTACATAGTTGGTCCTCCAATGAATACAATCTCCTACCTCCTTCTTCTTCTTCCTTCAGGTCATTATTCAGTGATACCTCCCATGGAAAATCTCCCCTGAGTCCCCCAGGCTGAGCAGGAATCTCTATTCTGGCACTTATCACTGGTCAGTATGTAATGCTTTGTTTGTGTGTATCCTCTACTGGACTGGGAGCTTCCAGGAGTTTCATTGCCCCATCCTGGTGTCTAGCACAGTGCCTGCAAACAGTAGGCACTCAGAAGACATACAGACTAAGCGAATGACTGATGAATAAATGAATGAACAAGGACTTTGGAAGAGTGACAAGTTCAACTTTCACTGAAAATAATTTTAGATGTGGGTGATTTCTGCAGAAAGTAAAAAAGAAAACATGTTCACAAGAAAATTTACTTTACAGGTCCAGCTGCCTGTCCTTATTTTGCTTTCCACTTATTATTTGATACCATTCCTTTAGGTGAAATGGAAGGAAGACTGAATAAACCAGTTTATAAAAGTTGAGCTGAACTACTGTAGGCTTTGCAGGAAAGCAGACATAGGTTGGAGTCTTAATTTTGTTCTTTTAAAAATGTTCTTTATATTCTGTTGCTCCACAAGTGATTTCAGTGCTATTTAATAACTAAATGTACTTAAGCAAAATATTTAATTTTCTTTGGCCTTACCTATAAGGCAGAGATAATACCCATATGGCAGAATTATGAGAATTAGGAATATTTTACTAGGGGCAAAGGTAGAAGTTGAGTAATATTATGTATTTTTGTGACTACATAGTACATATAATTATTTTAACATCATCTTCCTCACTTAAGAACTTTTATGGATAAGAGCCAATTCTAGCTTAAAAAATTCATTTCTCTCTCAAACTAGAGAGTTAATTTTTTTCTTATATATGATTCTTATGCCCTAGCCCTTAACTCTTTAGTAGAGAGTTTGAAGCTCTTGCTTCTCCAGATAGCATAAATGAAACTATTTCTGCCAGCATTGTTAGAATAATGTTACCTTGGGTGAAAACAAATAGGAAGAAGAACTATGTGTAAAAATGGATGTGTTGGTAAAGCTAAAGAAATTAATATTTTAATCACTTTTTGTATTTGGAGTGTCAGTGATACCAGCTAACTACCAAAATGCTGGCCTCAACCATAGAACCTGTCGACCCAACCCTCACAAATTCCTGATGGTCTAACTCCTAAATTCCATAGTCAGATAACAACTCATTCTTAGCCTGGGTAACCTCCCTGAGGCAGCACTTAGAATATGTTATATAATTTTCTACTTTCAGATATGGAATAAAACATTATTTTTCTTCATTCTACAAACTTGTAATTGAAAATTAAAAAGAGGAGATACATCAATTTGAAGCTCTTATGTAATAGTTGAAATATCATGTAACTAGATGCAATAATTTATTATTCAGCAAATGACCATTGAGCATTTTTCATGGACCAGGCACTATTCATCAAAGACTTTACACTCCATGCTTTAATTTGCTATGCAGTCAGTTATGTGATTGTCTTGTTAGTCCAGGGCTCTTCAACTTCTGCTTAGAGATGATGATGGACATGACATGCTGTCTTCACACAGTCACTGTAACATTTTACCCCAGTTCATGTCCTGTGTAGTCTTCTCTCTGATCACATGCCTTTAGTTTCTTCTCTCTCATTACAATCATCCTCCATATTCCTTCCAGATTGTCTCTTAACTACTCCTATTAAAGTGTAAGTGTAATTACATTCATACTTCATCCAAAAAATACCTTGTGGGCTCACATTACCTACTCAGAATAAGTTCAGACCACAAAACTGACACCCAACCAACATGGCTAAAACTGAACTCCCCTGTTTCATCTCTACTAGACTGCAACTGAACTAGACCATAAACCCTTCCCTCAATCTGTTCTTTGCTTGAGTTAGTCTTATTCCCATCTCTATCTGTAGATCCCCTGCCCCTCCAGAACAAACATAACTTTTTTGGAAGTATTTAGCTGCCAACATCTAACTGACTGACATTCTGCTTTGAATTTCTGGATGAAGTTCAATTACATCCTCTAGCTTCAGAATTGTCTGGTATCTTGAATTTTTATTATTTGTCTCTATTTATTTAATGTGAAGGGAAAAGGTGCCATAGAAAGACTCAGAACTATCTCAGCTCTGCCAATTGCCACTCGTGTAACCTCCAGGAAGTCACCATAACCTCTCTCTCAGCCTGTTTCTTTATCTATAATCTATGATGAAAATAATGCCAACTTCTGAGGTTATTGAGGATGTGTATAAAGTGAGAGGAGATATATGAAAGAACTTAGCAATAGTGCTGGCATGCAACAGGCACTGAAAATAAAACACCTGGAAAACAATACAATACTGCCCAAGTATTATTGTTAAGTCATATGAGAGACTGGAGGGGCAAACAAACTTCTTCATTAAAGTATTTCAAAGTGGGTTCTGATGTTTCATAGGATGCTTTGGGAAAAAAGTCATCTATGGTTAAATGATTTCAGATGTTAAGTTAAAAATAATACAAAAGTGTTTCTTAATCATAGGATTTCTCAGAGTCTTTTAGAAGATCATGGAATGTGCCATGTGTTCAATTTTTTTATATTAAACAGAAAAGCAGTTTCTCATTCTGAGTTGGAAGGCATGAGGGGAACTAAAGCACCATAATGAACTGGGAGCAGAGGGGAAAGGTGTGTATGAATTATGTGTGAATGGAAATAAGGCAGATTCAAGTTGGGATAGGAGAACAGACTTTCTGTTTCTTCCTCCCATCTCAAAGAAGGGAACGATTGTGCAGTAGTCATAAAGTTACCTGACTACAGAACTCTTATCTAATAGTATATCTCAGAGGGCTAGTCTTCCTGTTCACACAGTTTGACAACTACTGATCTGGAAATAGTGGTGGTATACGTGGGAGTGGTTGAGGGTAGAGGGGTTTGTGGATAGAGACATTCATTAACCGATTTTGTATAACCCTGTGTGTTTTTTATACCCTCACCTAAGTAGTGCTACCCCCATTTTTACCTTTCTCCATTTTTCCTGAGACTAGCCCAAAATGAAATACATGTGTTTTTTAAAATATGATTTTAACAGAGTAGATGATATAACGCAAAGTTGGAAACAATGGATCTGATTGGTTATGATAAGGTATTATCCTCTCTGACAGACCAATGCTCCCCAATCCAGAACCCTAGCAAGGTAGGGTTAGCTCCATCTCCTAGGTGGCTCCTAACAGTCCCCTATAGTATCTACGGTCACATACATGTACAATTACTTTTTAAAATTTACCTTCCCTCTAGATAATAAACTTCTTGAGAGTAGAAGTGACACACACTTGGAGTGTCTCTCTTGACAGCAGCTATCATAGAGTGTTGGCATGTAGTGCTGACAATGTAATTTATGAATGAACTATTCTGTAAAAGGGAAAGAAAAATGAGCTGATTCAAATTTAAAAAGCACAAAAGAAATTGTGATTTCTCTATGCCGATATCCATTACATTGAATCTCTTTATACTCAGGATAGCTTAGGACAGGGAATTAGGAGACTTGAGTCTTAGGCCTGATGTTGCTACAAACTATCTTGGTCACTATGGGCAGGTCAAGTCCTCTCTCTGGCATCCGTTTCACCAGCTGTGAAGGGAGATAATTTATATTCTCCCTTTTTCCAAACAGAATTGAAGGTGACTCCTGAGACTATCTCAAGCTCTTGACTAATATAGTTAAACTTGTGGGAGAACTGAGAATAATGCTCCCTTAATGGGAAAGATTTCTCAAATTGAGAGTTTAAATATAAGGCATTTGTTAAACAATCATTATCTACAGCAAGTGCACTCTATCAACTTGATTAGCCATAAGTTATTGGTTGCAAAAATCAGAAACCCATTGAATCACCTAGGCCATCTGGAGGGTAGTTCCCAGGAATAACAGAATTGCTGAAAGACTCTGGCTACTCCAGGAACTTTAGAAAATAAAATTAATCTCCCAAATACCATCAGATCACCTTAATTTTTCCTATCTGCCCTCAGGTTTTTACAAATAAAGAAGTTCAGAGCTTCAGGGTTCATATGCTCATAGTTTTGCCACTAAAGAGAAAAGTCTTCCTACCCTCAACTTCAGTTAGAGAAATCTGGAGGAAGGACTCTGATGACTTTAGCTTCAGGCACATGTTCATACTCAAGAACAACTCCAAGTCCCAGAGACAGTGGTACCACAAGTGGATTCACTTGGATCATGTGGACACTGTTGGTCAGTTACCGTGACTTGAGAGATACAGTATGTAGAAGTGGCAACTTCTACTGGGAAAACTTGTAGCGGGAGAGGAAGAGGAATGGTTGGGAGGAGGAGATCAAACCTGGCATGGCTCAATGATTTTGAATCTGGAAACCCTCAGTTGTATTTACTGTATCACTATATGGACAGTTGTATATCTATACCAATGTAGATGTATGCATTTACATTTTAGATAAACATAAGTAATGCATAATTTTAAAAAGGAATAGAAAATATTTTTCCATAAACTTACACATTATCAAACAGATCAAATCTAGTGGCACCTGAGTGCCTTAACATATACAGAATAAGTAGACAATTGAGGCTATTATATTGGACATGCAAAAAAGCAAGATAAGGAAAGTAGAGTTGAAACATAAATGACCTGAAGAAAGGCACCTCTCATCAAAAAGGTATAAAGCAGTTGCTCAATAAATTTGAGAGAAAAGAAAAGGAAAAAGAAATAAAGGAAATTTCTTATCATTTAAGAACTGGCTGGGCATGGTGGCTCACACCTATAATCCCAACACTTTGGGAGACTGAGGTGGACGGACCACTTGAGGTCAGGAGTTTGAGATCAGCCTGGCCAACATGGTGAAACTCTTATCTCTACTAAAAATACAAAAATTAGCTGGGCATGGTGGCGTGTACGTGTAATCCTAGCTATTCAGGAGGCCAAGGCACGAGAATTGCTTGAACCCAGGAGGTGGAGGAATTGCAGTGAGCCGAGATCACACCACTAAACTCCAGTCTGGGCGACAGAGTGAGACTCAATCTCAAAAAAACAAAAACAAAAACAAAAAAGAACTAACCCCAGTTCTGATTTTGTGGTTGTTTTTATGGAATCCACTGATGCAAATAGATTCAAAAAGACAATACCCTTATGCCAGAGTAAAAGCGATGTTTTTGCTTCAACTGTGAACTTCTAAAATGTTAATTTGTTGCTGAGAACCACTTATGATATATTAAACATGCTTTCTTGCATTATAAAACATTATAAGAAGACAATATGGCTCTTCTCACACATCCTGGGTACCTCTTTATTTTTTTCTCTTTTGCCTCTAGTTGTTACTATGTATATGGTAATTATACGGTCATATAACTAATGAGCCCATACTTATAACTGACATTTTAAGAACAAATATGGCTTTAAAAATGAATAAGATGCAGGTTAATTTTTCAATAACCATACAACCATATTTACTTTTTTCTTTTTTTTTTTTTTTTTGCGAGACGGAGTCCTCGCTCTGTCGCCCAGGCTGGAGTGCAGTGGCCGACCTCAGCTCCTGCAAGCTCCGCCTCCGGGTTTACGCCATTCTCCCCCGTGCTCCAGCCTCCCGAGGTAGCTGGGACTACAGGCAAAAAACCGCCCACCCTCAACCACGGCCTCAAGTTTTTATTTGTAACCTTTTCTTTCTCACTCAGCAGACGGCGTTTCAACCCGGATAAGCCCAGGATGGGTCTCGATCCTCTGACTCTGATCCGCTCGGTCCCCCCAAAGTGCTGGATTACAGGCTGAAGCCACCGCCGCCAGCACACATATTCTTATAGAAAAAACAGAAACAAAAATCAATGACAGTCTTTACCAATGAATTAATGGTTTGATCACACTCTCTTCTCCTCTAACTATTTTCTCACCTCTGTGCATCCATTTTCTACTCTCTATAATGTGCCTATGCAATTCTATATTCATATTCAAAGGGTGTGGAATAAAAAAAAACAGGCAATACCTTGAACCCAACGGTAGCCACTAGGCAAGCTTCTAAATACTTTATTTGCGCTTTGAAGCCAGAAAATAGGAAAGGAGCAGCCACATTTGGAAATAATTCAAAAACTGGAATGAACATATCTAACCATGACTGGAAACTAGCTTACGGTCTTATTCCTCACGAGATGAAACAGCTCATAAATTGAGTTGTGGAAATAAATAAGGACAGGAAGCTCAGAAATACAGAAATTCTAACACAAATCATGAGTAATCCAAGGAAGAAAAAAAAGGAAATTCATCTAAAAGAAGCTAGTTTGACTACAGGAACCTCTCAGGTAAAATCAAGTTTAAAAAATAACACGTACAAAGACAGAAGGAGAAGGGAAGTGAATGCCAGAACAGAATTCGAGCAGTGCCTGAACTATCCACATGGGCTCAGGAAAGCTATCAAATGAAGTTTTAAGAACAAACTTGAAGAATACTAAACGCAGAAAAGACTGTTTTGGAGTTATCAGAGCAAAAAGTATTATCACTGAGAGACGGACTAGCACTACAAGTCTAGAAAACGACACAGAAGAATAGGAGACCTGAACACAATAAACTAACTAATTCTTCTTCATAGTAGGATTTAGACTGAGCAATCAGAGACTGCTTTGCACATCTGATCTTTAGTTATAATGCCCTCCTTAATGTCCCTGCTGACAAGGTGACTTTATGGGTTGGTTCCAAAAGTAAATGGACGGCTAGATATTTATGCGGCCTCAAACTGTGCCTGAAGGACTATTAATTATTTAATTACATTAAATAAGAATAGCTTCTCAGGTGGTAGTATAGGGCTTCAAACCCCTGTCCAGAAGTATCCCTTTTTTATCAGAAGGATTGGATGAAGTCATAAAAGGCATACTTATCAAATTTTGTTAGACCAAAGGCAAGAAGTGAAACTGACAATGAGGGATGAAATTAGAATTTTAGAATGTTCTCAGAGTGATGACAACTTCAGTTCATTGTGGTAAGTATAAATTAGCTCATCATTTTTGAAAATCTATGAAAATATTGACAAGAACATAAAAATGTCCATTCCCTTGATCTAGTAAATCTAAGAATAGCCTTTAATAAATAAATCTTAAATATATAAAAAATTCATGTACAAAATACCCATCTTTACATTATTAAAAAGTAAACTAAAAATGTATTATAAGAAAAGGAGGGTTAAGAAGATAGGGGATATTATGAATATCCTTATAATATGGTATTCAGTTATTAAAAATTATATTTATAAATAGTTCACCATAGAAATCCTTATAGTACATTTTAATGTACTTAATTATATCATATTGTGTGCATATGATATTCATTGTCACGTATGACAATGTTAGCAGTGATTCATCCTGTGTAGGAATTTCTGTGTGATTTTTTTTCCATTATTAATTTCCATTTTTCCTAAACAAAACAATTTATTTTCTCTACTTTGGCATTTTCATTTTACCCTGGCTATCAATATGCAGTATCTCCTTTTCCTTTTTAACAGAATGCTGATTTTTGCATAGGTAGCTAAAATTATTTCCCTGGCTTCTTGTGCTAATTGCAGTTATGACTAATGAAATGTAAACAAAGTCTACTAAGTGGGGTTTCTGATAAAACTATCAATTTCTGAACTTTAATCTATGGCCATACCACTTTGAACGTGCTTGATCTCATCTGATTTCTAAACTTAAAAAGAGGGGCAGGCAGAGTTACTTGTTACACGCCTTTTACTCTTAACCTTTCCAGGTTATTTAATCCTGCCTAGAAACTAATACAACAGGCAGAATTCTAAGTCTAATGTTCCCAAGATAATATGACATAGTCAGTCCCTTGATGAGGCTACCTTCCATAAGATTTCATTGTAGCAAACTAGAGACAGATTCTCTTTCTAACCTGGAAGAGGTAAGCTGCCATGCTGTAAAAAGGCCACATGGTTAAGAACTCAGATCAGCCTCTAGGAGCTGAGAGCAACCCCCAGGCAACAGCCAGCAAGAAAACAGAAACCTTAGTCCTACAACCACAAGGAACTGAGTTCTGCCAACAACCTGAATGAGCATGGAAGAGGATCCCAAGGTTTAGATGAGAACATAGCTATGGCCAGCATCTTGGTTTTAGCATGATGAGAATCTGAGTAGAGGACTCAACCAACCTGTGCTAGGACTACTGACCCATGGAAACTGTGAAATCATAAATGTGTGTTATTTTAAGCTGCCAAGTTTATGGAACTGTATTACACTGGAAAAGAAAACAGAAACAAATACCCTCATCATATAACAATGAGGGAGAAAGTCATGTGCTGAGGCTGGTGATCCAGGAAGTTGAGCCCTTTATGATGTCCTTGAACTGCAGCTCCAGTCCTGGGTACATACCTCAAGACTTGTTTCATGTTATAAATGAGCTCTTCTTTGGTTA